CTGGTTTTCAATGCAAATATATTAATTTCTGACTTTGTAGGCACTCTTCATTACAATACACACTTAGTTACTTGCATTGTGTAATGTAATAGCTTGAAAGATCTTAAAGAATTATCCTGTTCCCTGAATAAAAAATGATTTCCTGGAGCTCTAAAAAAACTTCCAAGATTGATGACAGAATGTGAAGGGCAAAGCAAGGAGTAAAAAGATGTAAATTGAACAATTCTTCAGCTGACATCTGTGACAGGAGCAGGTAAATTAACAAAGCCAGGAAATAGGAGGGGTGAAATAGTAGTAGGTGCTCAGCTGGGCTCTAGCAACAGAGGTCAGACAGAGGAAGAGGTGAGTGACCTGGAAAAGTATGTGTGGGGGTGAACAAAAGATAGGTTGTTCTACCTCTATGCTTGCCTCTCTTCATAGATTCCTACCTAAGGACCTGTTCCTGTTCTCTTTGTGGCTGTGGGTAGCCATTCTGATCTGGAACCTGTTTTTTAAAAGTTAATACTACTAATATTGCTTTTAAAAATATGAATACCAGGGGCACCTGGGTGGCTCAGTGGGTTAAAGCCTCTGCCTTCGGCTCAGGTCATGATCCCAGGGTCCTGGGATCAAGCCCCGCATCGGGTTCTCTGCTCAGCAGGGAACCTGCTTCCTCCTCTCTCTCTGCCTGCCTCTCCGCCTACTTGTGATCTCTGTCAAATGAATAAATAAAAATCTTTAAAAAAAAAATACGAATACCAGTATATACTTTGTTTGCATTGCCCCTAAGGAAACCCCCTTCTAAATCTCCAAATTCCCATTTCCTTTAATACCTCTGTTTTATTTCCAAATCTAATGTTTGTATTCTCTTCTGTTCACTATGATAATGGATCTCAATCTGAGTAAAATTCAAATATAAAAAGAATAAATGTAATGCTTTTATTAAAACATTATTTTTTAAAAAGATCTTAGAGAGAGGGAGGAGAGAATCTCAAGCAGACTTTGCGCTGAGCGCAATGTAGGGCTCCATCCCACAACCCTGAGATCGTGACCTGAGCCGAAAAGAAGAGTCACATGCTTAACTGAGCCACCCAGGCACAGGATTTTTAAAAATGTTCTCTGAGTCTGCGTTAGTTTCTTATAGTTCTTAGCTCTGATCCTTGGACAGGTGGTGAAACCCCTAAGCCTTCATTTCTGATCTGTAAAATAAGGCCAGTATTACTTGTCTCATGGCATTATTTAAATGAGCTAATAATACATGTACACTGCTCAGTAAATGGGAAGTAGTAGTGTTACTTTTATATTTTTCGTATTTATGGTGAGTTTTGGTATGTCCATTTTCATATTTAACATCTGAAAATATTGCAGCAGTTGAAATGCTCGGATTAAATAATCCATGCAACTTTTGGATGAAAAATAGTTACTGGGCTGTTGTGAAGTAACATTTTAAATAAAGATTTATAAATGGTAATCGTTCATAGTTTAATGTTACTTGCTCTTTTCAGGAGTGGACGCTTCTCTTGTGAGCCAGCTGGAGGTCTTACCTCTTTGACTGAACCACCCAAAGGACCTGGCTTTGGTGTGCAAGCAGGACTTTAATTTATATTCAGCTGTAAATATTGTCAGTGGAGAAATAAAAAGGAATCTCCTATCTACATAAACTTTTTATATTGTTCATTTCATTGTGTATACTTACGCTATAAGTGTCATGTTGAAACTTCAGAGTACCATTTTAGTTTTTTGCTATCTCTGGCTAACTGTGAAGACACTATTTCATAATGTAGTTAACAATCACTCAGTATCATCATTTTCAACTGCCAGGTCACTTTTATCAGTAACATTAGATTATTGTGAAGTAAAAACTATGTCAAATTTCACATATATTTTGCTTTAACTAAACCCACGTCTTAACATGATCCTTCTATACACCTTGTTTACATTAGTACTCCCCTCCCTTTAAACATTTTCAGATTTACAGCACATAATTGTTACTGTTTCCAACTAGTAAGTCATATCTCAGGTAGAGGTCTAAGGATAAAGCAGTTACCTCTAGAAGTAGTGTTCTATCATTTTTATGAAAGAGAGGCACTTTGTTTTTGTCTATAGCAAGTATATAGAAACTGGGTGGAGAGACTGGAAGTACAATCTGAGTCAGAAAGAGCAGTCAGTGAACAAAATACTCTTCAGCTGAATGCATATTTCAACTCAGAACAATGGATAAAACCTGTGTATTATATACGCTCAAGAAACTAGCTATGGTGCTTTAGTATTGCAAGTTAGAAAAAAATTAATAGCTTTAATTCAGGGATAAATCTAAATCCAGTTATTTCAGGATTTCTCAAAATCACTGTTTGGCCTTGTTCTTCTGGCAGACTGACCAGTCACGTAGTAACTGTGATGCTTAAAAACATGATTATTTTTAAGAGTCGCTTTAAAAATTAGTTTTTGTTTTTTACCTGGGAGGGTAAATAACAACAGTTAATTTCTTAAGTGGCATAGAAAGGTAACACAATGAAAATGCCTCTCTTCTATCCTAGGGCCCTCCTAACCTGTTGACTTTTATTAAAAAAAAGGTTTTTATACTTTCATTAAAAAAGTAAGCTTTGATGTAATTTTTTTTTTTTTTAAACAAGAAGAAAAATTAGAGGTGGGAAGCTTCAAATACTGGGTGAAAAAACCAAAGACATGTATTAAGGATGTGCACTGATTATCAATTTTTATGTAATATTTTAGAAACAAAGTTAATTTTAGATTATTATAACTGTAGGCATACTGTTACACCATTATCAAAATATATTCTTTAGTTCTTAGATTATCACTTATATTGTATTGCAGCAGTGTGCATTAGAATTCTGAGTCTTAATTTTTTTGCCTAATTTTCTTAAAAATGCTGTCAATAATGATAGCTGATTAGCTATAGAAACACCGGGCAGGTAAAAACACCTGGCAGGTAATCCAAAATGGTTTTAAAATGTATATGAACACACTGATTAATATTTCTTTGCCCATTTTCGGAGACGACAGCTATATCCTTGCCTATTTCTCAAGCATGTAGGGAGAGGTAGACATCATTTGTGTGTGTACCTCATTTCCTCTTCTCAGTTCCTAACTCTGTGCTGTTTTTTAAAAAGGGGGTATTCAAGGAGGAAATCTTAATTGCTGTTTGATGACAAAAATAATTTATTCTCTCTACTGACAAAGAAATCTAATTCCAGTTTTTGTTTTTTTTTTTTGTAGCAACTACTAAAAACTACTGATTGCTCAATTACTTGCTGTAATTGGGTGGGGCCACTGCTCCAGAAAATCCTACAACACATAGTAATAGTTATAACCATATTTGCTGCAGAGGCATTACATATGTATAGACTAAGTCATATAACAAGCTATGATCTGAGATTGTATTTTTCTTTTTCTTTTTTTTTTTTAAAGATTTTATTTATTTATTTGACAGAGATCACAAGTAGGCAGAGGGGGAGGCAGAGAGAGAGAGGAGGAAGCAGGCTCCCCGCTGAGCAGAGAGCCCAATGTGGGGCTCGATCCCAGAACCCTGGGATCATGACCTGAGCTGAAGGCAGAGGCTTTAACCCACTGAGCCACCCAGGTGCCCGAGATTGTATTTTTCATTTATTACATTCACCTTCCTGAAATATAGCAGGGTTTTTTAAATGACCTGACTTAACTGGACTTAATGTACCAGTTGATTATAAAGGTGTGAAGAACAAGGTAAGCTGGTAAGAAAGTAACTTTTGCAGAATGGCTTCTAATTCAGGTATCAAATATAGTTGACTCAAAGAATGCCCAGCGTTGGGGGGTGGTGGGGCATCAACGCACCTCTGAATTGAAAATCCTCCTGTAACTTAACTCCCCTCAAAACTTAATAGCCTACTGTTAACTGGTAACAAACAGTTGATTAGCATATTTTGTTACATGTATTATTTATATACTGTATTCTTACAATAAAGTTACAGAAAAGAAAATGTACATCTACATTCCCGCACTTAACAAAAAAAGTTCATGTATGAGTAGACTCACGCAGTTCAAAACCCATGTTCAAGAGTCAACTGTATACATGTCTTAAGTGTCTGCTTAACTTTGGCTAAGACTGAGCTTTAATGCTTGGGGACCTTGACCTTTTAGTACTATTATGAAAACTACTTTACCCACTTGGTTAAGACTTGAGCCAACGAGAGACAGGGCTATACAATTAAAAGTCTTGGCAGCTTACTAACCAGCTAGCTTGTGGATATAAACTTTTCTTCAGACTTCTTTGAGACATCTATCTGTAATAGCTATAATATTTATTGATTTATATTTCTAGTTTCACATTGAAAAGGAAAATTAGCTCCTCTTGCCTTCCTAAGTATCATGCGGACCTTTTGAATAATAAATGGTGGCTGACTTATAATTTGCCCATATAATCTTAATACGAACTTCATTAAATTTTTTTTGCAACTAGTTGTCCCATTGAGTGTAGTCAATACAGTGCCCTGTAGCACAGCTGCCTTAGGAATCTCTTACATATTCAGTGATTTTAAGTAATAAGATTGTACATATAGTCGTTGCCATTAATTATGGCTAATTTACTTAAGCAAATTCAAGATTACCTACATTTCAACTTTGAAGTGAGGCAGTGCTATAGAAATAACAATTGCCATTGCCATTGATACTAATGACCATGAGTTAAATGAGAACTCAGTGATTTGAAGGGAGTTGGTTAAATTTTAGTGGGTTTCTTTGTATTTCATGCCATAAATATCCATATTAAATGTAACTGTAGGGGCACCTGGGTGGCTCAGACCTGGCTCAGGTCCTGGTTGGGACTTCCTGCTCAGCGGGAAGCCTGCTTCTTCCTTTCCCATTACCTCTCCCCCTACTCGCGCGCACTCTGGCTCTTGCTCACGCGCAGATAAAATCGTAAAAATAAATGTAACATTATTTCACCTCTAGCGTAATGGGTTCTCTTACTCTTCATAATGAACCTAATGATTTACCGGTGGAAGAAACCAGGAAACTAGGAAGGGAAAAATTAGTGATCTTTAATGCAAGTTTATGTTTCATATAATTTGTTGGGATTTAACTTCGTGTCAAGTCTAAAGTGTCACATCACCGTAGACAAATCTGTTACTCCATTAAGTCATAAGTAGGTGCTGTAGTTTGGAGACCATCATTAATGATGAGGGAGGTGGTTTCCGTCCAATTATGTATCCCCTTTAGCGGTTAGATAAAGGCATGAACAAACTGGCACATTAACCTCGATGTAAACAAAAAGCGTTCAGAAGTTAAGTCAGAATAAGATGGTTTCCCTCAGATTATGTAATCCCTTTGGTGGTTAAGTAAAGGAACGTACAAACTGTCGCCGGCTAACCCCGATGTAAATAAAAAGCGTCCAGAAATAAGAGTACCCGCTGCTGGTACGCCGAGACCGTAAATTTTCCTCACGTGCTCTTCTCCAGTACTTGAGCAGTTCCTCTGAAATACTATCTAGGGTGTAGAGAAACTTATTTCTCTCAAAAGGTCACTCGAAGGTGTGAATGGGAGAGAGTATTGTGGGGCTCGCGACGATGTCCCCGCGCCAGGTGCACGTTAATGTACTTTCGAACTCACACTGGGGCCTCACCTGGCACAGATGAGGGCAGGCGCGTCGGGGCGCCGCCGAGCTCCCCGCAGGTCCGGGTCCCCGGGGATCCCGTGCAGGCGCTGTACCGCCAGGGCGCAAGCGCACTACCGCGCGGACATGGAGGCCGCGACGTGCCCCGCGTCTCGGTACAGGCCGGGCCAGCTGTTCGCAGCTGCTAATTCAGGGGACAGATACCCTGCCTCTGTCTTTAGACCTATTTTCCCGGGCTCGACCCCACAAATTCGCCCACCCGCCCTACGAAAATAGTATGTAGAATACCCTGTGTTCAGCCTCTTCGCCGCAGTCGCCGCCATTTCCAGAAGTTTCTAGTCACATCCACGGCCATGGTCGCCACAAAAAGAGACTGCAGAGCCCTCCGGCCCCGCAGCGTGAGCTGAGCCAGCGCTGCTTTCTTGCGCATCCCAATTCCCCTCTGTTTTCCGGCCGGTGACCGCTGAGGGAGACGGCGACACCTGGGTGGAGAAGGGAGAGAGCGAGCAACGAAAGAGGAGTTCCGGCCTGCACCCCCGCCGCCTCTCACTTGGTACCTTCCGACTCCTCCGCCCCGCGGCTCGGGAAGCTTCTCCACAGAACTGAAAGAGCGGCGCGGTAGCGGGGAGGGGCCGGCGGAAGGGGCGGGCGGGCGCTGGGGGCGGGTCGGTCACGCCGCCCGTCCCGTGCCCGCGGAGTCACGTGCCTGCGTCGCAGCCAATCGCTGGGCAGCGCTGTCCTGGGAGCGAGGAGGCTGTGGTGAGAGACGGACGGAGACCGGAGATGTTTTCAAGCCCGGCCTCCGCGGCGTTCGTGGCGGTTGCAGCGGCGACGAAGACAACGACAGCGACGGCAACACCGAGGCACTCATTCAGGGGGTAAACCCTCCTGCGCCGATCGTGCCTCGGGTCCGTGAGGGTGAGGGGGGCGTGGCGACAGGCGAGGAGGAAGGAGGGGCGCGGTTTCGAGCCCCGTCCCCGGCGCTTGGGAGGAGACCCCTCAGTTCTGCGCTGCTCCCGTCCCCCCTCCCCAGAGCAAGGTAGGGGACGCGCCCTGCCCACCCTGTCTCGTGCCGACCGGCCTGGCCAGGCGCGGCCCGCGGTGCCGCTGGCCTGACAGTGACAGGCCGTTAGTGGCCCCGGCGCGGGTCCGCCCCGCCCGCCGCCGCCCCTCCAGGAGTCCCGAGGAGCCGCGGCGCGGCGGGGAGCTGCCAGCAGGGCGGGGGCGGTGCGGGGTACTCGGCGGGGCACCCCCCCGCCGCCGCTCCCGTGGCTGGGCTGCCGCCGCCTCCCGGAACATGGCGGGGCCGGGAGGAGCGTGTGCGTGCGAGTGTGCGAGGCCCGAGAGGGCGCCGCCGGCGTGCCGCGGCTGGACCCGGCGGGGCGGGGCGGGGCAGGGCAGGGGGGGGGGGGTGGAGGCGCGCCCAGCTTGCAGCGCGCGCCCGCTCGCCCGCCGGGAGCTGGAGTGCGGGCGCGCCCGCGGGAGACGGCTGTGGCCGGCCGGAGGGAGCATTGGAGGTACTGGGGTCAGGGGGAGAGGAGGTTGAAAGGGAGAAGGAAAATCGCCGCTTTAATAGTCTCGGGGGAAAGGAGAGCGGCACGCTGCAGCTCTGTCTTAAATGTCAGTGTAATCTGTCTTTGCCGCATTGAGCAATCGGTTCTCTTCAGGGTTCTGCAAGTGCTTATTCGAATGGTGTTCGTAAACCCTTGAAGCACGTCAGGTTCTTAGATCTCATTTTGAGGGGTAATATGGTGTGACGCATCCTCGAGGATCCCAAAGCGTTGAATAAACGGTTGTACAAAGAGGTTACCGAAGCCCAGCTGACAGCTGTTTTTATAATAACAGTAAGAAACAGTTTGGGATGGGAAGTTAACACTGTTGCACCAGTTGAAACCGTAGGCAACATTTGAAGCAGTGTAGTCGTTGATGTAATTTCCACCGGACACCCGCGGCTAAACTGCGAACACGGTTGAAAGGGGTAGCAGATTCAGTGATGTGTAAAGCCTTGGAATTGTCTGTAATCCTGAAGTTGAAATGAACCTATGTTCTTAGTCATGCACTCCTTTTTTCATTTTAAAACGGCTTGCGTAAATTATGAAGGAGGGCGAACTGGTAAAATAGCTTTTTTAAAATAAATTGACTGTTTATTAAAAACATATGCTCAAGTAGGCTGTTAAAAATCTCGGGCACTGATGTGTTTTAGTTTCTTCAGTCATTATACAAAGGCTTTCCTGGAGATTAGCTCAGAACTGGCAGAACATATGCTCTATTTGTGCCAAGAGGCTTAAAAACAAAATGAGATAGTGTTGACTGTATAAGATCAAGTCATTATATTAACTAATCTTGTTGGGAAAAGTCTTTAATTTGGGCTAAACGCAAAAAATATTTAAGGACTCAAAATGTTTCCTCAGGAGATTATAGGCAAGCAGAGAAAGGTTTTACTACTTAAAGATTTTTTATAGTTGACACCAAGTACTAACTAAATTTCTTTTAAAGGAAGGTCTGCAGTCGGTTTGACTAAAGTTAAGCTTAACTATTCACGGCATGTGTTCTATTTTAGAGGCAGGCAAGGTGTTAAAATGAACTAAAATCTGAATGTTAAGTGGTATTCATGGAAGGAAGTAATAAAAAAAAACAGGATTCCTTTAATTTTCTTCATCTTATACTTGTTAGTATGGTTTTATGACAAGCAGAGCTGCGAAAGTGAAAATCTAGGGTTGAGTATTCCATGAGGAATATTTGAGGAAGAATAGAGAGAACTAAAGTTATTCTGATGATGAAAGAACTTAATAGGTGAAAAATATGTTGTTCAGTCTCTGGTTTTAGTTCTTGGATATATAATATCAGGAAGAAAAGAAAAAAAAAGACTGAATTTTGTTTGGAGACAAGTGCCTGCTCAGTGGAATGAATTTAAAATGAAGATGTTTCTGTCAAGGTGCTTATATATTCCTTTTTCTTCCTATGGAAGTTGTTGGAAAATGTGATAGTCTTCTGAGGTAGATTGTAGAAAATGGTCGTCAGTGGATATTTGAAAAACTTTGTTGGAAAGAGGTCTTAATTCTAAGGAGTAAGAAGAAGAATAAAATATTCAATTTGTTGGCATTAGTTGACCGGTAGTTAAATTTTCTTCCTTCTCATGTTTTAAAAGCATTATTACAGCCTGAAAAGAGAATGATCTATGAGATTATTTCCATCATAGTCCATAAGAGGTTTAGGCTGCTTTCTTTATAAAACCTTGATGATACTGAATAGGTATCTATCAGAAAGGCATGAAAAAATTGATTAATTGAGAATAAGAGTTCACATTACTTTGTGACTTGGAACTTGTTGCTAGAATTGACATTAACATGTATTTCTAAAATGCCTGTGCTATATAAAGGGTACAGTCATGGTGATTTTTCCTGAGAACTGGAAGGGTGCTCAAATTTTCTAATCCGTTTCCCCCACAAGAAAATTAAGTCCTAGTAAGGTGAAATGACTTACCCAAGTCAGTACAGCCTATTTAAGAAGTCTGTGGTTTGGGCCTAGAGATTTCCTTTCTGTGAAAATGCTAATACCTCTTTCTTTGAGAAGTAGCTTTATGGAGTAGTGAAAAAAATACTGAAATATAAGTGAGAAGACTCAGTTTAAATTCTTGGTTTAAAAAAAAATCTTGATTTATTATTTCCTGTGGTTCTTGACAAATCACATTAACTTTCAGAACTCTTTTAATCTACAAAAAATAATTTTCCTAAATAATTTACAGAGTTCTTGGATGGAACAAGTGTGATTACATATGGAAAGCACCAGGTATACCGTAAGCTTTTATACATATAAAAAGTGGCAATGTTTAAAAAATAAATACAGTTTTACTGTGTTACAAGGTGTCTAGATCCCTAGGTTTTTGCTTAGCCTTAGCTTTATTGTTTCCAACACCTGCTGTTTTACAGATTATAACTCCCTGTAGATACATTTCTGATCCCCACTTAGTTCTAATCTTAGTAAAGCCTCTTATGAACATTTTAAATATTGCAGTTGTTAGAGCCTGACTTCCTCTGGAGAATATGAAGTTTCTCCATATAGCATTTAGAAACATTCTCATTTACACTCATGCATGCATAATCTGTTTCTTTAACAGTGGCTTTTAAAAAGTAATAGTGAAAGTATCTTAGTTGCAATGTTAATTTGTCTGTTGCTAGTTTCCACATATGGCAATAACAGGAGATAATTTCCTTTATAAACTCAGCTTTGAATGGTTTGTGTTAAGGTTATCTTGTACATCTAAATATATAGAAATGTTCAGTTTTTGTTTGTTGGCTTTCACTGTTATGTTTAAAGACCTTTTCGGTGCTTTAAATTGATACTGGAAACAAATATGTAAATATTGTTTATTGTAGTTTTGTGTAGAGTATTTGTAATCTTGAAGCTAAAAATTATGATTAGCATTCATTGAGCACTTGGAATATGAATGTATCTGTGTTCAAAGTTTAAAGTAAAATATTTAAGATAATTTTCAGAATAACCCTGTTAAATAGATACTATTATTATTCTAACATATGGCTGAGGAAAATGAGGCTTTGAACTGTTATACCATGTGTAGATATTCACAGACCTAAAAAAAAGTGACAAGACTGTATTATTCCCACTATTGTTCTTAACCATTTGTCTGTGCTCTGCCTCTAATTAAGTGTTTAGCTGATTTTGAAAAGTTTTAAGGCAGTGTTTCTTTAATTTCAGACTTTGTGAAAATGTCTAGGGGCCAGCTCTGCCTTCTACTGTGTTGGTCAAAAAACCAAAAAGAAAAGTAAACACCTTATAAAAATCTTGGAAGGTAGGCAATAAGTAAGCCCTTTCTGAGATGTTGAGATTACTATTGGGTTTTGTTTTTTTTTTATGTTAGTTGTCAGAAGCAAATTAATTTCATCAGCTACAGAAGGACTACAGTTGTTAACATTACAAGAAGTGATTTTAACAAACTCCATCTTGATGTTGGTGACTGGAGAAATAAAGATCACTTAACCAAACTCATTCAGGACTTTTATAAGTAATTTACTTTTATAGTAAATTTGTCCAGTTTAGATAAATAGCATCCAAGACTAGATTTTCTAATTAATGAGACCCTCCAAAATTCTAAGAAATTCAAACTCTGAAATTCTTAGAAAATTAAGTTTAAATACAGAAATGCTTCCAGATTGAGATAAGTAGAAGAGGTAAACATGAAGCTGCAAGTAATAAGGTGGAGTAACTTCTTTGGCATCTTAAGTATTGTCTCCTCTTTGGCCGATCCCTTAATATTTGCTTATTGCACTAAAATTGTTTCAAAATATGTAGTAGTTTACTTTTCTGGCTTTTGGTTTGTATTTAGGCCATAACTGGAGGAAGTATCTCTAATATTAGTTATAAATAATATAATTTCTCTACTTTTTGAAAGATTTTTTAAAAAAATTTTTGAATTAAATGCTGTCTGTAGCCAATATGGGGCTTGAACTTACAACCCCAAGATTGAGTCACATGCTTTACTTATGGAACCAGCCAGGCACTTCCACATATCATATTTTTAAAACTACTTTGTTACTTGAAAGAGATGTGAGAGAATCTTATAGCTTCTCGGATTATTATTCCTCCTACATAGGA